CACGCATATTTGGCGTAACTGGAGATGTGACGTCACACATCGTTAATAGTAGTAGCTCTCTAGCCATGGGGTTATATTTCCAGGCATCGAAAAAGTATGAGGAAAATTAACCAACAAGTTTTTCAACGCAACCATGCGCTCAACCACGAGAGAAGAGCTTTTAAAATTCTTCATTTTCAACAAGCCCTGCAAAATGAGATCGGGAAAATCGTTATCAAAGACCATACGTTTCCTGTGGGCATTGAAAACGACACTCTTTGAGAATCAAAATATAAGGCATAATGAGTGATTTAGATATATCGGGTTTTGCAATCATTGATGCAGCATGAGAATAGTAAAATTGAGCAAGTTCAACGGAAAGTAACATGTTCAATTCTGGGGTGATTAGGATGAAGTTGGCCAACTTCAATGCCTGGTTGGCCACACGGGTGCTGAATGGGTCGTCATTTTGGTACGAGCTATCGCCGAATAGGTTACTTTCAATAGCAAGAATGTCTCTTTTGGCTATTCTAGCAATTGTCTCGACATATGACTGGGAAGATTGTGTCTTATTTCGTGGTGAATTCACTCCACCTCTTTTCTGCTCCTGCTTGTTTGTAAATAGCTTTACCACCGTGAGAGGTGGGTTCGTTTTGCAGATGTTATTGAGTGTAGCGTAAACTTCAAATTTTCGATCAAAGCTTTCATTTTGAAGAACATGCATACAGCCATCAACCAACTGCGATAGTTTAGTAGACAGCGGTGCTACTTGTACAATGGATCCCGAGTGCCAGAACTCGACACTGTGTGGAGAAAAGGGGTCACTTTTGAGTTTTTCTGACCCGTGGAGAGGGAGAGTTTCAACACCTGACTCGGAGTTGAAGGTTTGAGAATCGATTTTCTTGAGGAATTGAAGCACGAGGAGGAGAGCTCGGCAAAGTCTGATACGAGCAAGTCGTCACTGAATGCAACAGTTTTCTTTTTGTGCGAGAAGTTCGAAGAGTACTTTTTGGAGACATTGACTATTTCTCGATGAGATGAGCGTTTTATTGACGATGAGTCAAGTTGCGATGAGGGTTCTTCAGCAGACTTTGCGAGAGAATCAGGGTCAATTAAGACCATGCTATTGTCCTGAAATATTGCTGGACCTTTTTCGTTGTCGTTGAAGCCAAAATTTCTGTGATCTGAATTGGATGTGTTTTTGACAAAATGAATTGAATTCACAAAATTTCCGTTGGAGACGGTACGAATGCCATTTTCGAGATCTTCGTTGTGTGCGTGTTGGTTATGCAATGTAGATGGGGGAGAAGAGACCAGGGTTTCCATGGCATGTATATTAGGTTAGGTATACGCGTGGTCTGAGTAGCCGTAGATAAAAAGTTCACAGACGCGCGACCCGAAGTCGCGAGGCTCGGCAGAATCTCACTAGCCGAGACCGCACAAATCGAGATCAGTCTTCCATATCTTCGTCACTTTTTGCCATATTTTCATCTGCCTTGTTTTCTGGCTTGGTGACATCCTCAGAGATGTCGTCTATGAGTTCTTGGTTTTGGTTATCTTGGTTATGTTCTTCTCCTTCAATCGGTCTTCTGAATAGGTTCTTCACTTCGCAATCTTT